TGAATTTGATCTTTGTTTGTTGGGGAGTAGTGAATCCATCGGAAAATATGAATATCTTCGACACTTTTCAGTTGTTTATAGAAGTTATCCCATTTATCTTTTATCTTTGGAGGTACTTGTTGATCCCATTCAAGATTGTTAATCCATAGTTCTTGAATAAGTAGTTTTGCTTTTACCACAACTGGCGATATCCATCCCAAGGAGTCATATAATTTTGCCACTTCGAAGAGTATTGTTCTTTTTGTTATTTTGGTTTGTTCTGTTACTTCTACTTTAAATCGGAATGTATCATCAGCAGGGGCCCAGTGTACTCCGAGCGCTTTCTTCACATCATCTTCCATTATTTCTGAGCTTTTTTGTTCTTGAAGTTCATCTGGTAGACGGGATACTAGCTCTGTTTTGTTGCTTGACCATTTTCTAAGATTGAATCCTCCAGATTGAAGCAAGGTAATGATTTCGTCTTGAAGGTGTTTGGCTGCTTCAATTGAATCGCATCCGGTCATTAGATCATCTACATAGAAGTCTCGAAGAGCTACGGTTGATGCTTTCGGAAATTTTGATGCTTCTTCAATTGCCAACCTTTGCAGTGTTTTTATTGCTAGGTACGGCGCGGCTGCTGTTCCGTATGTCACGGTTGTTAAAGCATACTCTGTGATTGGTTGGTTTGTATCGAATCTCCATAATATTCGATAATAGTGTTGATCATCTTCAGATAAATGTATTTGTCGATACATTTTCTCGACGTCAGCGGTAAATACTACCTTGTGTTTTCTCCATCGTAGTAAAATATCAGTCAGTTCTTGGGCCAATATGCATCGTCTCGTTAAGACTCCTTCCATTTGTGGTCTTTGATGATGCATCGAATACTACTCTTAGTTTTGTTGTTGAACTGCTTTCTCGTATGACGGGCTGATGAGGGATATAATATCTTCCTTCATTTATTTTCTCTGGTTTGACTGGCTTCATGTGACCAAGGTTAATGTATTCTTGCATGAAGTTGTTGTATTGTTCTTTTAAGTTCTGGTTTGATGGCTTGTTAAGCTTCGACTTTTCGAGCTGCATTAAACGGGCTATGGCTTTTGGTTTCGAATCACCTAGATTTGGTGGATGTTCTTTAAATGGTGTATTGACTGTGTAAGTCCCATCTTTGTTTCGTTTTATAGTCTTGTTGTATTGTGCTTCGCAATCTATGTCATTCTGAGACAATGGGCGGGGTTGATAATTTGTTACCTCTTCAATGTCCCAAAATTTTGTTAGTTGTTTATCTTCTTCTACGCGGCTAACCATGCTTAAAATTTTTACTGCTGGGCTTTTTCTTATGCTGCCTGATAAAATCCACCCCAAAGTAGTTTCTTGACCAAGTAATCCATCGTTAGATCTCTCTAGGCCCTTTTGGAGAATGTGGCTAACTTCTTCTGCTCCTAGAATGGCATCAATTGGTCCAGGATGATGAAATGTTGGGTCAGCAAGTGGGTAATTCTTCCAATTGGTTGGAATTTCAGGCATCATTGGTTCGCTCGGTAGTTTTTTTGTTAAGGTTGGCAATACTATGAAATTTACTGATAGTGAGAAATTGCTCGGGAATCGGGATTTGATCTCACACTGAATTTTTGACTTGGATTGTTTTGGACTGTCTCCCAAACCAGTGACTTCTGCGGTTATTTTCTGCCGAGGATATCCCAATAGTTGAGCTGCTTCTTCTGTTATAAGAGCAGCCTGTGATCCTGAATCTATCAAAACTCGTAAATATTCCATGCTTCCATTTATTGCCTTGACTCGGACTAGAGCTGTGGCCAAAAGAACTGCACGTTCTTCTTGGTGTTTATTCGTTGTTTGATAGTTTGTTATTTTTGTTTGACTATCTTGTTTTGATCCAAATGATTTTTTTACATATTTTTGTGGTTGTTTTTCCGTATGTAAATATGTGTAGTGCTGTTTGTTACATGTTCTGCAACTCCATTTGCTGTAGCAAGTCTCTTCCGAACTGTGACCAAGACAATTGTAGCACAGTTTCTGTGACTTGACAAATTCGTTTCGCTCATCGACAGGAATTTTGGACATCTTACTAGGGCATGCGTTTGTTGGCACATGGTGCATGATAGTGTTTTTTCCTTTGTCTTGTAGTTTACGTTGGAAGTGTTATGCGTGTTTTTGTGAAACATCGGTTTTGTGTAATTTTTTGTTGCTTCTATCGATTGGAATCTTCTTTCTAAGAAGCTCATTATCGAAGCTAGTGTTTGTACTTGGGTCGGGTTTTCTAATGATTGTTCGTAGAGCCTGTTCGTTTCTTCATCCCATTTTCGACTGATAATTCTTCCAATCAATGGACCCCATGGTTCTGTTGAAATGCCCAAATTGTCAATCGCTTTGAGACATTCATTTGTTACATCATGTAATCTTTGTAATTGTTTTGTGGATTCACCTTGAATTTTTGGAAGATCCAGGATTTGATCCACTAGTTTGCTGACTATTATTCGTGTATTTTCGTATCGTTTTTTGAGAAGTTCCCAGGCTGCTTCATAATTTCCATCGGTAATATGAAGATGTTGGATCAGTCGGCTGGCTTCTTCTCGGACATGCGCTTTTAGATATTGCATTTTTTCAATGCGTGAGATTGTCTTGTTATCATGAATGACCTTAGTAAATATGTCATAAAATGTTGCCCAGTTTTCGTATCCGCCTTTGAAGTGTGGAAGTTGTATTTTTGGTAATGAGAGGTTTGGTTTACTCTCATTGTTGCTTTCTGCTATTCTTTCTTCTAGTTTCTCCACATATTCTTCATAAAGTAGTTCTATTTCTTCAAATTGTTCGTCCTGGAAGTACTGGTCAGTAAATTCGTCTTCGTGAACTATCAGCTCTTCGTGAAGTTCTTGCAGTGAACTCCACTGGCTCTACAGTTTTTTCATCAGATTTTCATATCTGTACTTTGGTTTATCTACCATAAGTTCTGTTCCTAAACTCTCTAAGTTGCGTTTTAGGGAGTTTAGGCGTAGTTTTTGTTTACGGAGTCTAATAATTTGTTCGTTGTTTGTTTCACTTTGTACTTCTGTTTGTTTGGCACAAGTCGATAGGTATTTTCTAGTTTCTTCTGCCTTGTTTAGTATTTGTTCATAATACTTAATAGTAAAGTATACGTGGGAGGTACACTTCAATTCTTCTAACTTCTTGTTGTTTTCTGCACATTGTACTAATTCGTCGATTTTGGATGTCCTTTCCGTAATATATTGGGGTGTTTTTCTTATGGACGAGTCCTTTTTTGAATTTGACAATAGCTTGGAGATGGCTTGCCCAATTTCTTCTTGTTTGGCCACTATTTTGTTGGTTTCCTCCATTGTGCTGGGTTTTGATGTTGCTGTTTTTAGTTTGTGGGATGTCTTCTTGTAGAATTTAGGGAAGCTTAAGGGTGGGTGCAGGAAGGAAGGGTGTGACTTGGCACTATTAGTCTGTGGGTAAGTGCAGGGAAGAAAGCCCTGGTCTTGCTTACTACCCACGTCTTAATAGAGCTTGGTCTTGTTTAGCTAACCTAAGTGGGTGAGTGCAGGGAAGAAACCCCTGGTCTTGCTTACCGCCCACTGAATTTAAGGGTTTGTTACCCTGGTTGGCTTGTTTTATAATCAGTAAGTGAGTGCAGGGAAGAAAACCCTGGTCTTGCTTACCGCTCACTGATTATTTTTGAGTTCGAAGGACCATGTAAACTCTTGTAGAGTTTAGGGAAGGGTAGTTAGGTAGATGTGAATGATAGGCTGGTTGTGGTTGAAAGAGAGAAAGTTTTATTAAATTAATTCCTATTTATATATAATTCTAATGTGACGTAGCAACTAGATAATTTAAACAATGTGCAAATATGCAGTTTTAACGGCGATGACCGATTAATTGGTACTGATTTTGTAGGCTCAGTACCTTTGGGTCGGTCACCGCTTCGAAATATTAAATTATTTAAATAATAAAAATTAAAAAATATTAAATATAAAATTTTGGAAAGTATTAGATTAAATTTGTTTAATTGACGATTAAACAATTAATGTTCATTATGTTATGATGAACGTCCAAAAAGGCGTGTAATCTATACTTCTGACAACGTTGGAAGCCGTGTTTCTTTCGACGGTGTTTAGAATGTGAAACTATGTTTTACTCGCTTTTTAAACGTAAACAAATCCGTCCATTTGTTTTGGTGGTCTGTGTATACTACTGTTAATAATAATAATAAGAATCAGATTCTCATTATGAGATGCGTCTTTTAGCTTAGGACGGCAGGATAGTCAATACTTACAAATTGGTTACATTTCCTTACCCAACAACAATACATTTCACAACCATTAACACGTTTATCACTTTTAAGGCGCAAAAATATATTGAATAATTCAATAATTATGATTGACATTGACATGCAAATAGCGTTTGTACGGGCAGTGGTGGGAGAGTTTCCAATCTATGGGGGTATTATCTTTGAGCGAGAGTACGCTTAATTCCCAGGATGCCAGTTCGCTAGACCTTCGGAGCAATTACCACTTGCTATTGCCTTACAAATTTCTAATAGATAATAATGTATTTATGATCGGTACTTGGGTCTAGCATTTCTGATGAAAATTCATAGCTGAAATAAATGTCCGATATAGTTAGAACCAGGTTCTTCTACTCTACTTTTTCCATTCGTTTTACGATGTGATTTTTCTTCGTCCGTTATTCTAATAATCAACGTATGATCCCTTTAAAATACGGAGACAGCTGCTCTGTCACTTATATTTCGTCTGTCACAATTTCTTGCAAAATTGTGGGCAACAAGATTTTTGCCGCAACAGTTAAAAAATGGATTTCATATTTATTATATTAAATTAAATATAAAAATGATTTTTTTATATAACAGACGTAGGTATGCCCGAAAGAAATTGAATAAAGCCAGAATTTAAAAAAAAATCTCGATATGTAAACTTTTGTTTACATAGAAATATAGCGTATCATTCATTTTAGTTTTTATTGACTAAAAAATAATATTATTTTAGGTGCTCATATTTGTGGACTAATTTCTCGATATGTAAACTTTCGTTTACATAGAATTATAGCTTTGGATCCGGCTAGACTCCTTGTAACTACTGATATAAAATTAAATAGTGGCGATGCAAAGGCAGTTCATATTTTACATACAAATGCTGGTCATTATGGTGAAAGTGATAAAAGTGGCCATGTTGATTTTTGTATTAATGGTGGGAAAATACAACCCTTCTGTGAAACAAGTAATCGTGAGTATTTAATAAAAATAAAAAACATACTATTTGAAGTTTAATTTTATTTGATTTTTTTGTTTTACAAATTGCACATAAAACACCTTCACAATATAGAACAAGGTTTTTTTATATTTTTTTTAACAAAAATATAAATATAAATTTTATAATAAGTATAATAAGAGTCATTTTATTTACAGGTCTCCTCATAGTTGGCCAATTTGGCATATTTGGTTCCAAGTTATTTTTATATTTATTTTATATTTATCGTCACTATCCCAGTTTTCCTCTTTAGAAAGCATAGTTTTGGCAGTAACATGATCTTCAACCAACGTTTTTCCGATTCCGAAATATGCTTCTCTTAACTGACAAGTTACTAATTTGAAAAATGTAAAATTTTAACCGAAACTGAAAGGGAAATTTTATTTTTTAAATGGGTGAAAATAAAGTTATAGGCAATACTCAACGTGAAATTTCATTAATGTCTCAAGATATTTAAACTACCTAATCTCTCGACTAGACTAATATTTCTAATATCGTGTTGTAATAAACCATTTTATTAAGATTTAACATTACTATTTAAAACCACATACAAAGTGCCATTCTTCTTTTAAAAGAACATCCTTATTTAAAGTCCTATAAACTTTAAACTTTATTACCAAAATAATTTATTTTAATTTTTAAAAATAATTAAGACTATTTATTTTATATACTAACATCCATCCATAAAAAATCTTCTAAATAAAAAAATGTATAGTTCACTTGGAGTTTAATATAAGGACAGTGGCCATTATTATATGATATAAGTAAGCCGAAATTTGGTGAAAAGTTGCATTGTTAAAAATGTGTTAGATTTGTTTAAAACTTTCGAAAAGGAAATTGAGCAAACAGAAACATGAATTAAAGGGTAAAACAATGCAGTACTAAACGTACTAAAAGATAATCATTATAAAATTTAACCCTTGTTTAAATAGTTTCAAGGGCAACACTGAAATATGTTGACTTAAAGGTCTTAGGGCCGGTATATCCAGTTAAGTGTCTTAACTCTTAAATAAAATTAAACTGTTAGCTAAACTTTTTATCAATATGCAACTAACCTTTACTAATAACTTAAATTAAGATAACTGAAAGTTAATTTAACTGAAAGCTGCAAGTGTCAGATCAGGAATTAACTAGCGGTTATAGCTATACATTGTATAGGTTATATTTGGGTCTGTGTAGTGTTGTTTTAAAAATTAATTTTGGAGATTTTTTTGAAAGACACGACGATAAACAAATTGTTGAGTTTGTGCAAAACAAGAGAAAACTATATTCAGTTTTAGAACGACAAGAACAAATACAGCGAAAATCATAGAGGGAGGAATATAAATATAACTTTTACGGATAGGTTCGTACAAGTTCTAAATATTTGTTTAATTATCGAGATAACAATTTCAAATGTATTGATCTTAAATAGATTTTTTATGTTAAAGTAAGATTTTAAAATGTGATATATTTTTAAATTAATGTGTGTACACTGAGAGAATAGTTTATTAACAATTAACTAGATTTATCAATAACTAATAAATGCTTTATTCGATTATGGTGGAATAAACATTTATTTATATATATATATATATATTAGGGTGAGCCAAAAAAACTAACCTATCGGATTTATGGGTTAAAATGAACCTACATACCGAGCAAAAAATTTTCCTGCAAGGAAAAATTTTTTGCTCAATTTTAAAAGGTGTCGGTGAGCATTCCAAGTTTTCCATTGAAATAACACGTAAAAAAATCTTTTTTCATTAAAAAAAATATAACTTTTGAACCGTTTGAGATAAAAAATTTTACGTCGCGGATTCTTGTAGAGCATAAAATTTCCTACAAAATCTATCCCAAAATTATTTTTTTTCAATTTAAAAATTCGTATATTTGAAAGCTTTGAAAAGTGAAAAAAATCATAATATTTAGTTTTAGTGTTTTTTGACTAAAAATGTTCATTAGGGTGTTTCATTTAAAACGAACAATTTTTTTTCTTGCTGACACATGAAAATTTCGGTTTTTAGGTTGAAAAAAAAATTCCCTGAAAATTTGAGCCCTTAATTTTGATTCTAAGTACTTCCTTTTTAATTTTGTAGTTTTTCCATATAAAAAGCATGTATTTTTAATCATTTTTACTTTAAATTTCTATATTTTGGCCGGGTTTTGAATTATAATTTTTATCACCATAATAAAGGCCCTGCATCAATTTTGTTTTTGATTTATTTACGTTGATTGTAGTAGCTCCAAAAGTCGTTTTTTCACTTTTTCTCATATTTTTGAGAAAATCGAGCGAATGACTGGTTTTACCGAAAAAGTTCAACAAAAAAAGTTGTAGAAAATTTAATTTTTGACTAAAAAGGTTTTTACGTTCATATCACTAAAGTGCTTTGTTTAAGAGATATAAGCAATATATAGTTGTTGAATGAAATTACATAAATTTCAATAAAACCTATTTTTTCTTTGTTTTTGGTTATTGAATTGCTTATATCTCTTAAACAAAGCACTTTAGTGATATGAACGTAAGAACCTTTTTTGTCAAAAATTAAATTTCCTACAACTTTTTTATTTGAACTTTTTGGGTAAAACCAGTCATTCGATGGATTTTCTCAAAAATATGTGAGAAAAAGTGAAAAAACGACTTTTGGAGCTACTACAATCAACGTAAATAAATCAAAAACAAAATTGATGCAGGGCCTTTCAAAAACCGTGAATACTATGCAGAAAATTATGGTGATAAAAATTATAATTCAAAACCCAGCCAAAATATAGAAATTTAAAGTAAAACTGATTAAAAATACATGCTTTTTATATGGAAAAACTACAAAATTAAAAAGGAAGTACTTAGAATCAAAATTAAGGGCTTAAATTTTCAGGGAATTTTTTTTTCAACCTAAAAACCAAAATTTTCATGTGTCAGCAAGAAAAAAAAATTTTCGTTTTAAATGAAACACCCTAATGAACATTTTTAGTCAAAAAACACTAAAACTAAATATTATGATTTTTTTCACTTTTCAAAGCTTTCAAATATACGAATTTTTAAATTGAAAAAAAATAATTCTGGGATATATTTTGTAGGAAATTTTATGCTCTACAAGAATCCGCGACGTAAAATTTTTTATCTCAAACGGTTCAAAAGTTATATTTTTTTTAATGAAAAAAGATTTTTTTACGTGTTATTTCAATGGAAAACTTGGAATGCTCACCGACACCTTTTAAAATTGAGCAAAAAATTTTTCCTTGCAGGAAAATTTTTTGCTCGGTATGTAGGTTCATTTTAACCCATAAATCCGATAGGTTAGTTTTTTTGGCTCACCCTAATATATATATATATATATATATATATATATATATTAGGGTGTCCCTTATTTTTATTTTTTTTACGCATACCCTCTAAATATATTTATTACTTGTTTATATACTCCCAGTAAAAATTTCATCTCATTCTATAAACGGGAACCCGTTCCGACTTGCATCTGAACCCTCCGTTAGCCAACGTTAGGCGCGCGGTATTTTGTAACACGAAAAAAAAGATATACTTCATGACTGTATTTTTCTAATGATTTTATTAGATATGATTACTAATTAATATTATTGCTTTTGTTTCTATCATTTGTTTCACTAATTTAGTTAATTTTATCCCTTAAATATTTTAATATACTAATTAGTATTGCTAAAATATTTTGTTATATGAAATTTCAGCTTTTTATAAGCATTTCTTTTCTTGATGTTCTCCTAGAAATATTTCAGACAGTTTAATAAGTTTTCGGTAGTCATCTCTCACAATAGACTCTTTTAGTTATTTAGAGTAAAACCCATTAAGTTTATCAATTTCAGAGTTTACGGCCTATTCACCAGACATTTCCGGGTAACTAGCCACTCCCTGTGAAAATATACATTTTTATCAAAGTATACACATAAATAAAACTATATTTTATTATTTGTCAATAATTTATAATATAAGGGTCACATAATAACAAACACAAAATGACTTACGATCGAAGACCTCGCGACCAACCGTGTTACAAAATACCGCGCGCCTAACGTTGGCTAACGGAGGGTTCAGATGCAAGTCGGCACGGGTTCCCATTTATAGAATGAGCTGAAATTTTTACTGGGAGTATATAAACACGTAATAAATATAATTAGAGGGTATGCGTAAAAAAAATAAAAATAAGGGACACCCTAATATATATATAATCGAATAAAGCATTTATTAGTTATTGATCGTTTTATTAAAAAATAAAGAAAAAATTATAATAAATATGTTTTTTTGTGAATAAATAAATGCTTGTTTATTATAAATAAAGATTAATTTATAATAAATGTGTTTTATTTGTTATAAATAAATGCTTGTTTATAATAAATACTAAAATATTTAGAAGACATAAAACTTCATTTGTAAACCCTATACTTTAATTCACTATAAAAGTATCCAGCAAGTCGTTGAATTCATTGCTTCCTAAAAATTTGCATAGCTCGTCCATGGTTTGCAGATCTTCCATGCATGTTTGGATTTTTTAATAATCGCAGAGGGACACAGGAAAAAGCCGGTATTTTACACTGGCACTATAGGTACAATTTAAATTAATGCTATTACAAAAAGATTGCAAACGAAACACTGATGCATAAATAAATAAGTGCAAAAAAATAAAAACAGTGCAAAGAACAGAATCACTAAACTTAACAGTACCCAGAACAGAATCAGTAAACTTGGCAAGGCAAGTGGTACACCATATACCATGCACTATAGTGCGTTTTTGGTGCGTTTTGACAGAAGTTTGAGTACAGTAAACAAGAAATAAATATTTATTCATTGTTAATATTGATTCCTACCTAAAAATAAATTCGAAATTTATAATAAATAACGTTTAAAGATCGCCTAAGCAAATAGGTATTTATTATTCCCAAATTTGCATTATCAATAATAAACATATGGGCAACAAACAAAGTATTTGTTTCTGCTAAATAAAATATATTACGCAGATTATTAATAGTTAAAAAGGTTTAAATATAAATTATAAATTATAAATTATAAATTATAAATTATAAATTATAAATTATAAATTATAAATTATAAATTATAAATTATAAATTATAAATTATAAATTATAAATTATAAATTATAAATTATAAATTATAAATTATAAATTATAAATTATAAATTATAAATTATAAATTATAAATTATAAATTATAAATTATAAATTATAAATTATAAATTATAAATTATAAATTATAAATTATAAATTATAAATTATAAATTATAAATTATAAATTATAAATTATAAATTATAAATTATAAATTATAAATTATAAATTATAAATTATAAATTATAAATTATAAATTATAAATTATAAATTATAAATTATAAATTATAAATTATAAATTATAAATTATAAATTATAAATTATAAATTATAAATTATAAATTATAAATTATAAATTATAAATTATAAATTATAAATTATAAATTATAAATTATAAATTATAAATTATAAATTATAAATTATAAATTATAAATTATAAATTATAAATTATAAATTATAAATTATAAATTATAAATTATAAATTATAAATTATAAATTATAAATTATAAATTATAAATTATAAATTATAAATTATAAATTATAAATTATAAATTATAAATTATAAATTAAAAATTATAAATTATAAATTATAAATTATAAATTATAAATTATAAATAAAATTTAGTCCAGGAAACAAAGATTGTAGAAGGAAAACTCGATGGTAGTCGGGTTTTATTTTTTTTCATGTAGAGTCAGGGGTGCTGATAATGAATCAAGAATATTCCCCAAAAATTTCTTTCCGCGTCCCCTAATTTCATTCCCCGAAAGGGGAGTTTTTTTTGCTTTTTGGCTCATAACTCGGTAACCGTGCATTTTTTCAGAATTTGACATCTAATACTTTTGATTATGTACTAAATAAGGCACACGTTAAACCCTACTGCGCACCTATATGATGTGCCCTTTTGCTATGGGCAGTGTGCAAAGTTAAGCGTTGCTTTCAAAATCACTTTTTTGTTTTTTTATTAAATTATTATTATATTATTATTTAAGTAATCGAACCCAAACCTTAAGGTAATCAAACATATCCGAATGGACGATTTTTTGAGGTACTAGACTTTTTTCAAAAGTTACTGCTTACTTTTTCAAAAAACCTATTTTTTATTTTCCAAACGGCTTTAATGAGCCAGTTCGTTCTACCCTAGATTTTTAGGTACACTTATCCCCGTAACGAATCCGTAGTTTTTTTAAATTATTTTCATTGCAAGTGCCCCACAAAAATGAAAGTTTTTTGCTTGTTTTTTTAAATTTTTCACCCATTGCCCGTAAAAGCATTTAAGTCATTTATACATTAAATTATAGACTTTTTCAAGACACATGTATGTATATCAGTATTTTGGTCTTTCAGACCGTTTGGCCATTAGAAATATAAAGGGAGTATCAGGTAGAACAGCATGCTGACATTTATTTAAAAATCATGCTACTTCCCTGCATCTTTATGTTGTAAACTTTATGTTATGTTCATGAAAATATAAGGAATTTCAATAGTAATAATAATAAGTATATAGTAATGAATATAATACAAGGCACCGCAACAACCTTGGTATCCCAATCCATAAAACTGTGAAATTTGAGAATAATCACAATTATATTTAAAGAAGTTTTAAATATAAAAAATCATTTCTTAGAACACTGTTTTTATACTTGCGATGAGTTTTTACTTATGTGAGTTATTTGAGTGTTCTTAAATCTTTTATTGTTTTATTACTACTGTAAATCATTTTCAAATTTTATTAGCATTGTATGGTAATCTTGTTTATTTATTCTTGGTATTTTATTATAAACATTTTGTTCCCTTTACTAGTCCTATACCATGTAATGGTCTTATAGGATGATACAGTTTATTATTATTATGATTATTACTAGAAAAAGCCACAGTTGTTTCGCCAGCAAATATTAAGACTTTGTAATTTCTTGTTCCATTGTCAATATCGTAAATAAATAATAAAACTAATATAAACCCCAAAACGGACCCTTGGGCAACACCATAATTTATATTTTTAAGGTAGATTCACATCCACCCAAAGAAACAAACTGCCCGCAATTACTAAAATAAAATTTGATAAAATTTACACTATCATTATGAAAATTCAATTCAATTTTTATAATGTAATTATTAATCTCAAATCACTCAATAATACAATTAATTTATTATTGTCATGCCAACAATAATAATGGCCCACCCTAATATTATAATTTATTTTGTAGTTGATGTCCAATTATGTAGTCATGTTTGGTCAATTTGTTATATGGCTGAGAGTTTACATTTAGGAAAGGCTAAGAAAGCCGAGCCCTGTTCTAGACAATGTCCAGCTGGTCCACGTCCCGATTTAAAATTGGGCAAGCCAATTATGATGGGCCAACATACACCTCTATCGTAAGTTAAGAAGTTACTTATAATAAATTAATAATATTAAGTACCTATTGAGTAGAAATTTGCCAAGTGAGCCCATGATTTTCGACGTTGTCATAAAAATTAAAAATAAATATTAAATCATAATATACTTAGTAGTAGAAAGTTATCACATAAAATTTTTTGAAAAAACTTCGTTTCTTTACAATGTGTGATTAAAAAAAATTGTAGCATTTGATTTAAAAATTAGTTTCTTGTAAACTATTTATAAAAAATTAATGAAAATTTGTGAGAATGGTAAAAAATAAATGCAGTTAACAATAAAATTTTCAAAAACGTGCTATTATTTTTTTTGGCAACTTTTTTATTCTTTTTTAATATAAAAATGGCAATTTGGCCCTGTTCTCCCTTAGAAAATTGAAAAAAATAATAGGTAAAAGAATCTCTGAAACCTAAAGATTAAGGAAGGGTTTAAACATTTTTGTGATCGCTCCAAGAGTCAATGATAAATAATATTGTTTAGCGTTGCGCCACGTTGACAGGCGACCGTTTAAGAGGCAAGTTAACAGGCGCATCTTTGCGTACTAAATATTTAATCAAATGCCGTTCCCTTAGCAAAAAAATATTGTTTTACCGCCCATATTTAAAAAAAAAATTTAGAAGCGACACTATTAGAAGACATTTTTAATAACTATATCACTGATTTTATATAAAATGTTTTTTTTATTGTTATCAAAACGTGCCCCAACGATCTCTCTTGAATTTTATGTTTTTGCATCAAGTAACTATTGATAGAAAAAACTTTATAAAAAAAATGGATTATACCCTTTTTCTTTCAAGTTCCTCCAATTTTTTCCATACAAAATTGACATAATTTTAGGTTTAAATAAAATAATTGCAATTTATTTTAAGAATTATTCTACTGGCTTAAATTTTAACTTCCATAAAAAAATTATAACATTTGGTAAAAAATACTGCCGTATTTAATTTGTCCGATAATGTATATTTAAATCCCATTCTACCAAATTCTACAATTAGTATAAAAATAAAAACCTTTATTAAAATATATAGTAGTATAAGTAATATTTATTTATTTAAACCAAATGTATTGAAACAATAACATTTAAAAGTTGTGGTTAAATAATTTTAAAATAGTTTTCGTGCAAAAAGATGCTGCAATCCTTTAAATAAAAGTAAGCATAAAAAAGTAACAAAAAATCTTCATTTTGTCACAAAAAAATTGAATGCAATAATGCAAAAAAATAAATACTTATCAAAAACTTTTGTTGGACTACATATGTGCAATTCTTGTCGACGATCGATTTACGAGAAAAGAAGTGAATCAAAGTATAAAGTCTTTCTTTCTAACCGAAAAACTCAAAATAAAATCGTTGGCGAAGAAAGTGACTCTGCAGATCCTGAACAAGACGAAAAAGGTGATCCAACGTTTCAATATGGAGAACCTTCAAAAAAACTTTCTCACCAAGAAAATCAAATGTTTAGTAAATTATTAGGTGAAAAAAACTGTACTGTTGATAATGACTTGGAAACTTTGTACATTCGTGACATAAAAGCTGCTCTATCTCAGCAATCCAACCGATCTGGAAAAATACAAATTTTGACAACTATCCCGCACCATTGCAAAAATGAGAAAAGAATTCTAAGTGTCACGCCGAATGGCATCAAAAGCAAAAAAAATAAGCTTTCAAACACGACTGTGAGTGCAGTGAAACTTTTTTATCTCTCCGATGATAACAGCCGTGTCATGCCTGGAATAAAAGATTACATATCAATTGTTAAAGATGGAAAACGAAACCAAAAGCAGAAAAGGTTGCTTCTCTTTAATCTCATTGATTTGCATAAGCAGTTTAACGAGAAGTTTCCTGAAATGCCGATTTGTCTAGCAAAATTCAGGCAGTTAAGACCTCAAGAATGTATTTTGGCTGGTAAAAGCGGTACACACAACGTTTGCGTGTGTAAAATTCACCAAATTATGAAATTAAAAATACGCGGCCTGATGCAAGAACTGAAAATAAAAGGAGCTAATTTCACCGACACATATCAAGATTTAATAAAAAATTCAGTCTGTGAGAATCCATCATCGAATTGCTTTTTTTTATCTGTGAAGAGTGTCCAAAAACTGAGTGTGTTATTAAAAAACTAAAAATTATCCTCGAAGAAAATTATGTGAAGGAAGTAAAATTCAGTCAATGGGCGAACACCGACAGGTATTTTAAAATATAATGATTTAACTTTTTTTATTTATTTTAAAATTTGTGTTTATTTGCATTACAGGTGCGAAATTTCACAAAAGACTGAAAGCAGAGACGAGTTTTTGTGTAATTTAGCCAACGACTTACCAATCTTAATGAGACACAATTTTCTTGCAGTGTTTCAAGCTTTGTATTTTAGCCAAATTAAGGAAGGGGAATTCGTTATAAGCATGGATTTTGCAGAAAATTACACATTTCATGTGCAAAATGCCATTCAGGCCCATCCTTGGTCCAATACTCAGGCTACTCTCCATCCGTATGTAATTTATTATCGCCATAACGGAGTGCAAAAGCACGATAGCTTCGTCATTATTTCTGAAAAATTGACTCACGATGCATGGTCGGTTCATTTATTTAATTCAAGAGTTATTGAGTACTTGAAAAAAAAATTTGGAGATAAAAATATAAAAAAAATCTTTTACTTTTCGGATGGAGCCGCGTCGCAGTATAAAAATAAATTTAATTTTATAAATCTTTTAAAACATCAAGAAGATTTTGGGATCACTGCTCAGGGTCTTGGAGGGGCTGTGAAAAGACAAGCCTATCGAGCTAGTTTGCAAAGAATAGATAATAACTACATTACTAATCCTCGAAGTCTTTTCCAATGGGCTGAAAAGCATTTTTCAAAAATATATTTTAATTTTTGCTCTCAAAATGAACATAAACGTCACGAGAGTTCGTTAAAGGCACGCTTTGAAAAACAATAAACAATAAAAAATACCAGATAATACCATTGCTATGAACCTATAGATATTTTGTGTAGACTTTTCTCGAATGACACAGTTTTTGTTAAAAATGTAATTACGGGAAAATAGGAGGCTTAGTTATGTTAGGTATGTTTATATTTATTCTAATGTGTTCACTATTGTTAATTTTGCAATTTTTTAAAGTAATAAATCTATTTTATTCTTTTTTATTTTCATCCTGGGTCTTATAAAAATAAATTGGCAATTGTTATTTTAAATGTTTATGTATATATATAATATTATAGTAAATATACCGTACCTGATAGAACGCAAAGATGCGCCTGTTAACTTGCCTCTTAAAGATTCGCCTGTTAACGTGGCGCAGCGCTGAACAATATTATTCATCATTGACTCAGGGGGCAATCACAAAAATGTTTTAACGGTTCCTTAATGTTTAGGTTTTAGAGCTTTTTTTACCTATTATTATTTTTTGAGGGAGAACAAGGCCAAATTGCCATTTTTATATTAAAAAAGAATAAAAAAGTTGCCAAAAAAATAATAGCACGTTTTTGAAAATTTTATTGTTAACTGCATTTATTTTTTACCATTCTCACAAATTTTCATTAATTTTTTATAAATAGTTTACAAGAAACTAATTTTTAAATCAAATGCTACAATTTTTTTAAATCACACATAAAAAAGAAACGAATACAGTTTTTTCAAAAAATTTTATGTGATAACTTTCTACTACTTAGTAGTTTATGATTTAATATTTATTTTTAATTTTCATGACAACGTCGAAAATCATGGGCTCACTTGGCAAATTTCTACTCTATTATAAAAAGAAAATAATAATAACGCTACATCATGTTATTAAATATAATGACAATACGCTAAAGAAGTATCGCTAGTGGAGCCATCACGTAGCCGTCATCATCGTTACAAAATTATAAGATCAAACGAACTTATCTGTAATAAAGTTCGATCTTAATTATGTTTGGCTTTGCCGAAATAAATAATTTACAATGTAGTCCTTCCATCAAGTACCGAATTACACGACAAAAGAATTTGGTGACCAAAATTAATGATTAGTCACCCTGACGTCTACCTCAGATTATGCCTTACCCAATTCATTTCTTTAGAGCCTTAACTCTTGACTGCATCGGGTTAGGTGGGTAATTATTTATTTCGACGAAGCCGAACATAATTAAGATCGAATTTCATTACAGGTAAGTTCGTTTGATCTTATAATTATGTTTCGGCTTCGTCTCATAAATAATTTACAATGTAGATATTTAAAGTCTAAGATGCAGCCGTAAAACTTTATTTAATATTTAATAACAAATTAGTTCATAATTCATATTAAACTTATATAAACATATATATACACATATATATGATATATATACACACATATATATATATATATATATATACACATATATATATATATATATATATATATGAATAATAACTAGCTATATTTTTAATGAAAATTTATCATCTTTATAATGTAACATTTTTTAATCTTTATTTCGTCCCCGTTCTGAAAAAATTCATTAAGTCCTAAATGTTAGTTTTAAGAAAAAAATACTCTTATGAACTTTTGCCTGCTAAGTGACAATAGAATTTTAACTTAGTTAAAAGCGACAACGACTGTTGCATGCTAAGTGCACTTAATAAGTTTTTCTAGACCACAGATATAATTGTTTTATGATCGCGAAGGTAGTTAACTACTTTTAGACAAAAATGGAGTTAATGACTTTTGCCAGAACGGTGACAACTTTTGTTTTTCTACTTCGCAAATGTTTCGGACCTGGCAGTTCATCCGGCGGCAGACATTCTAATTTGATCTAAGATTACTCCCATTTGAGTAGCCGCTGAAGTTGAAGCATGTCTAGTGCTATGAGAAGAGAATATAGATGTATCCAAACCACTTTTCCCCAACAAGGATTTTATCCACCTACTAATTTAAATAGTTTTTTAGAAGATTGATTACGTAGACTCCTTGTTCTTTCCAAATACTCTTCTAGTGTAGTTGCAACACAGATCCTTGGATCTTTCT